GTTGCTTTGCTAAAGAAGACTCTAGCTATTCTAAATAATATACCCAAGGTTTCTCTGCTGGCTTTAACCAGCCATGAAGGGCACGGAATAATCTCGGCGGTGGCTGGTAGCAACTCCTTAAGCACACACACAATCAGAGTAAGAGAAACTCTGCAGAAAACATAGCAGCTGGTAAAGAGAATACATTTCTGCTGACTTTTAAACACCTCACAGCTCTCTTTGAAATGCCAGTTTTGTGTTGAAATTAGGCACGGTGGTGTGCTTCATGAGGAGCTGGAATTACCATGGGGCTGAGCATTGTGTATATAGTCAAGAGTGGGATTCTGGCTATTTGATGGAAGGGAGTTACCTCAGTAATAATGATTTATAGAGGTGCGCTGATATATCGGTGCCAGAAATGATTGGCACTGATAAAAGGAAAATTAACGTTACTCACTATTGGCTTTTTTGGCTGGTGTAGGTGATAATGTACCAATAAATATAATATGCCTTCTGGCCAAGGCCCTAAGATGCCCTGTGCACGTATACAGCCGCAGCATGCACGTGGCCAGGAGTGCAGCCGGGCAGTGGGGAGAGCAGTGCCCTGCAGGTAAGTCTGTGGGGAAGGGGTGGGGAGCAGATTGACTCCCCCATGGTGAGGGAGGGAGTGGGGAAGGAGCTGGGACTGGGGGTGCTGCCCAGCCAGAGCAGTGAATGGGACCCCAGGTCTGGGGTGGGGAGTGGGAGGGAACCGTGGGCAGCTCATCCTGGGGGTGCGGGAGTAGGAAGGGGAGGCATGGGGGGCATGTGCCCCCACCCAGATTTGTGTGTGGGGTGGAGGTGGGCTGCTCGCTATGGGCATGGGGCTCTCTGCTTTGCTGCCTTTGCCCCAGGAGCCCTGCACTGGCTGTGCACCTCCTGCCTGCCTGGCGGCAGCGGGGTGATGAGTTGTGTCTCCTGCTGCCAGGTGGGCAGGGGATGCACGGCTAGTGCGTGGCTCCTGGGGCAAAGGCAGCAGGACGGAGAGCCCTGAGCCCACAGTGAGCAGCCCACCTCCGCCTTCACCCTGCTTGGTTCTGCTCCACTCCTAAAAGCATTCCTGTGTTTAAAAATGGTGGTGCCAGTACTTGAACTAAAGCTCATTTGATGAGTTAGTCAAGTGCGGGCCCGCCCCCCCCATTTTTAAGTGTGGTGATGTTCATTGCCTGAACGAGCTGTCTGTGGCTCCGTCCCACTCCCTGCCTCAGCCCCACGGTCCCATTCACTGCCCTGGCTGGGCAGTGCCCCCAGCCCCTGCCCCACTCCCTTCCTCACCATGGGGGCCTAAGTCTGCCCTCCTTGCACACGTCTGCCCTCCTCCATGCCCCTTCCCCTCCACAACCTTGCCTGCAGGGCACTGCACTCTATGCTACCTGGCTGCATTCCCGTAAATCATTTTATTGGATTGGTATCGGCCAATATGCATGGTGAATAATTGGCTATCGGTATCCGCCAAGAAAATCTCTATCGGTGCACCCATAATGATTTGTGTTAGAGTGCCAGCATTTTGTCTGAATTCCTTATGGTTGAAAACAAGAGGAGAAAGAGCTTCCTGTTTTTGTCCTGTTTAGGTAAAATAAGAATGATCTCTGGTAACTTGGAAATTAAAGTTATAACAGGCTGTGATGATTATGGTCACGGTAAAAGAATAATTTGCCTTTCATATTCTGACAAGGTTCTTTGGGTGAATCTGATATCTTTTATTAGACCAACTTAAATAGTTGGAAAACAATTATTAAGCAAGCTTTCGAGTTCAAAAACCCTTTGTCAGGCTAAGGAAGTTTCAGCAGTTGGTGTGTGCTCTTCCTGGATGGAATGAAAAGTAAAGAAGCCAGCGGCTGGGCTGGTATGCATGCAAGACAGGTAGTCAGTGAAAATGTAGACTGAGGAGTCAATGGGTGAGAGACAAGGTGGGGGGGCGGGGGGAGGGTTGAGAGAGAAGGGGGATGAATAGTGGAGAGATACCTGGGGAGTCAGATGTCAGGCAGGTTATAATGTGTCATAAATCCAATGTCTATATTTAGTCCATGATTTTTAGTATTCAGGAGGTTGATGAAGTGGAGTTCATACAACCTACACCCCTTCCATATTCTTGCATTTTCAATTTGATTTAGCCTCTACTTGATTCCACTAACCTGATGTACACCAGCAAGGAGTTTGTCTCCTGGGCAAGCCCCATTGAAAACAGTTCAGGGTCTTCCCCAAAAGTTGGTTCCTTTGCCACTCCAGGTGGCTGGTTAGGTCTGTGTAGAGGTGCAGTGAATCTTCTTGAATAGGCTGTGGATGGAACCTGGCTTTATATCCAATCCCATTTTTAGTATTCTATTAAAACAAAACAAAACAAAACAAAACAAAAAAACCTTGAAGGCTGTATCTGCCTTTCACTGATTAACCTTTTACTTTTCACTCTATGCATAAAGTTTGAGAGTGGACTTTCCTTCCTTCATAGCAGCTCTCCTGTGATCCTATGGGTTGCTGCTCCAAATACTCATTTGATTTAATGAGATGTCTGGAGGGAAACTCTCAGCTTTTTCTTTTCGATGAATAAACTCCCACTGATTCCATGAATAAACTCCCACTGAGAGGAAATAGGCCATTAAGCTACTTCCCAACCCCAGACCAGCCACCCTGGTTCTTGGGTGGTGGAGCCTTGTCCCGTCGTGGTTTAGTTGTGGTCAGGGGACTGAAGCAAAGATGTTATGACCATTATTGATGGACACCACTACCCCTGACTCATTCCCACTGTCTTTCACTCTCTCTTTGCTTGCACTAACAGATTGGAGAAGTGTGTGAGGGTAGCTGCAGAGGAATGTCTTGCTACCTGGCCATTTTTGTAGCTTCACTCTAGCTATCTCTGGATGGAGCCAGACAGTTGACTGAAAACCACAGAAAGTGGAAAAGAGTGCCTTGTCCAGTTGAAACTACAGCTTTATATTACATCTGAAGCATAGAGCTTTCCTTACTCTATCACCTCTTCCCTTGTGCACTAAATGCATCCTCGTCCTGTAGTTCTGAGAAGTTAGTAGGAATAATGTAGAAGAGGAGATGCTGAGGGGCAGGAGAAAAATGACTTGACAGCAGAATTAACACCCATTTATTTTAAGTGGGGGGAGGAGGGAGTCAAAAAGCACCTTTATTTGAACCGTCTCTGGCATACCTTGCTCCGGGTTGTGTGAGATCATAGTCACCTAGTTGAGAACAGAGGGGCAGGAGAGTAACATTGATGCTGCAGTTAATTCAGATATATCTGAGCAGCTGATGTGGTTTCCAGGAGTGAAAAACTTCTCATTTTGTTCTAATACTGCAGTTCACTCTAGCTCAAGACTGAGAACTACATCCCAGAGCAAAAATGATCATGTTTTGCCCAGTTTGTACAGGACAGTTTAGAAATCGCCCCCAGTTTCTCTGGAATCTTACTTCTAGTTCATTCAGGGCTCTGCCCTAGTTTACCTTGAATTTTACCTTGATTCTTGTACTTTGGTTGGCTTGGCCATAATTCTAGGTTTTTTACAGGCTTTTTTCCACAAAGCTCTAACTACTTTTGCATCTTTTGAAGCCTTTCATCTGTTACTTATGTAGTCCTGGTGCTGTGGCTGCCATTACACACATTTACTGTTATGTAGTGATTGTAACAACCTCATATGTCTCATTCCTTGCTTAGACAAGCTACGAACGTCAGAGCTGGGTCTGAGTCTGAGCTTTTCCAGCATCTATATGTGGAAATTTGGGCACAAGCTCATGTCTGGTTGTGAGCTTAGGATAGTACTTTGGTTATTTCAGGTATCTGAGCTGCGGTGGTGAAATCTATCATGATGTTCACTGGATATGTCTTGTCATATAACACAAGTAGAATAACAACATCAAGAAGTTTCAAAAGTGCTCACATCATTTTATATTTAAAGTAGTCCTGTTTGTGGACTGGTTAGTAATACCAGCTCTCAGATTTTTTTTTTTTAATTTCTGTTTCAAATACCATTTAGAAAAGGGGAAGGAAATCATGGACCAACAGGTATGTTTTTGCAAAACTAAGCTCATGACAGTCTGTTGAAAAGCAAGGACACAGTTAAGCCTGACACTGCAATATTTGGATGTTACTAGGTAGGTTCTTAAATGAATGCCACCTCTGAATTTTTCCCTTTGTGGGCTTGTGCTACAAAGGAAATGTTATGATGTAAGGCCTTGCTCTTTAAGCACCCCGTGCCTACCATCCCTAGGGTTGTCAGTGGCAGGTCTGGATGTGGCTCTGTTGCATGTTTGAGCCTACATTTGTGTGGGAGTGGTGAATCAAAGACATTGAAATTAGGAACAAAATTGTGTGGACAAATTTCAAATGTAATAAGGAGAAACTGCAGTTCTTGTGCGCCTGATTTGCAACAGTTTGGTGTTGGGAAATGATGGCAGTTTTAAAACAAGAGAGTTCATTGATTCAGGTCTGATTCAGGTCAGGCCAAAGGGATGGTATCCGTGACTTTCCCCTACTCAGTGCAAGGCACCAAACAGCTCTGGGGAAGGATCAAAACCGAATGGGCATTTTTACATGTGCTCTGGAGGTGGTGGTGGGGCGGGGTGGGGAAGGGGTGCATTAATTAGAGCAGCTCCAAGAGCTGCTCTAATTAAAGCTGCCACAGCACTTCATGCATCAGCGTCCCCCATCCTTCAAAATGGAGGGTGCCTTAACTAAAGCTCGTTCAAATTTTAGTTAAAGCACCCCCGGCACCATTTTGAAGCATGGGGACACTGGTACATGAGACATGGAGACTGGCTGGAGCGTGCTAATTAGAATGCTCCAGCAGACTCGATTAATTGAGTTTGCTCTGACATACTGTAATTACAGCACGTCTGAGCTGGCTCCTTGCATGTGTACAGGCACCCAATGTGATTTAAAATATTTTTGAGACATTTAGCAGCTAATTTGTCTGTCTTTGCCTGTCTTTCCCTCTCAGTTTTCAGTTGTGTGTATTTCTATTTCCTTCTTCCTGTAGAATGAAGTTGAGTTGGGGGAGCTGCTGCTATCATTAAACTACCTACCCAGTGCAGGAAGACTGAACGTAGACATTATTAGAGCAAAACAGCTTCTTCAGACAGATATGAGCCAAGGTTCAGGTAAAGAGCAGTGTATTTCTCAAATTACTCTGTGTGTGTGTGTGTGTGTGTGTATGTTAAATTATCCCATATACTTAGACTCCAGTTTTTTTTATGCTCCCTTATAGATTTGGACACCTAACTCATATTAATACAATGGCTTTGGAAAGTTCTAATGAGTATGGGAGTTTTTTTTTCTTTCACAGGCATATATCCCAAAATCTGTGGGCTTGAACAGGGAATTGGGAACCAGGTTTTTCTAAATCATAGTCCTGTACCAGCTTTTGTGGCCTAGGACTCTTTATTAATGTTTGCCTGCCCTTTAGATGCGAAGTACTACATGAATGTTAAATATAAAAGTTATTTAATTTTGCAAAGGCTGTGCTGTGTGATATTTGGCAATGACCACTCACCCATCCCTTGCTTTTTGTCAATATGGATAAAGCCAGTTCAATCATTCTGGCAGCTGGTAATTACCCCCTACCCCTGCGAAATATCTCCTTGTCTCCAGCTGCCGCTGTAACCAGAATATTGGCATCTGTTGTTGAGAGCAACATACTTGGCCTCTGTGACGCCTCCATTATTTGTGCTCCAGGCAGCATCAGTGGGGAACATTTTGAAACCTGCTGTTTGAGACTCGTATATCTCCACTGCAAGTTACCTAGTGCCTGGCATAATAACAGCCTAAATTACTCACTAATGCCATTTTTTTGCATGATGCAGCTCCTCATATCTTTGGCCCTGACTGTTCAGAATTGTATGAGATGGGAATATTGACCAACTGCACTTGTAAAGCTGGAACTGTGTTTGTGTTTCTGTCAGATCCCTTTGTGAAGATTCAGCTGGTCCATGGATTAAAGTTAGCAAAAACCAAGAAAACTTCTTGCATGAAGGGTACAATAGATCCCTTCTACAATGAATCCTTCAGTTTCAAGGTGCCACAAGAAGAATTGGAAAGCGCCAGCCTAGTATTCACAGGTAAAATGTTTTCTTGCTATTAGTGTGACATTATGTTGGCTGTGCCAGAAGTGATCACATCAGCCCTCCTAGATATGCCGTGTATCCCACGCAGGGTGACCTCTTTCTTGGAAGCTGTCATTTAGGGCGCAACCAACTCTGGCATCTTTCGATGAACTTTAATTAGCATTGCACTCATCAGCTCAAAACATTCTCCTAGTGTTGCTACCTGCAGAATGGCATAGTTTAGTGACACACCTTGTCAGATTGATTCTTAATTGGTGTCACTTGGAAGGCGCATGTGTGGAGGGAAGTAGTGCTGAACTCTGCCATACCCACTGGCCTGGCTTGAAGTCAAAGCTCTGTGCAAAAGAGGCATAAAGGAAGGCACATCTGGTGATTCCAACACCCAGACCTTAGAAAAATGCTTACTGTGGTACCCCACCAAATTTCTACTTGGAGAATTATACAGATATCTTGTGTTAGTCCATGTTCTTGTGCTAGTCCATGGCACCACTGTTCTGTTCAGTTTGCTCATGCCTATGTTCTTCAGAGGGCTGGTATTAGTCACTGATGTTTGAGCGGAACTGCTGAGGTTTATAGTTTAGTCTTTGCTCTTTCTTGTTTCCTGAAAAGTTATGATGGGCCTAGAGCAAAACCTCTGCTCTGAACACCCGTAAGAGCTTCTGGAACTGTCCAGGTGTTTGGATCCAGGTGTGACTCTTCTAGTGTCTTAGAGAAGAAATAGCAGTATGAAGAAGAGAAAATGAGTGAATGGTGAGGGTGGTGGGTGTTTCTTTGCATTCCTGATTCTGCTGTTTTCTTATGTGAGGTATGAAAACATTCAACAGGCACCAACACTGAAGAACGATTTCTTAGAGCTGGATGGGATAGCCTAGCATTTAAAATGAAGATGCCTAGCTACTCTGTAGCTCACATGGGTAGTAGCACTGGTGCAGATTCATTATTGCTGATAAGCATTTAGGAAGCGCACCTGCATAGCTGGAGGCTGCAACTTTCATTTTAGTTGCATCACACCATGTGGCATTGGTGGTGGCAGTACATGTGTAATAGTACTGCTCTTAACTGGAGCATCTGCCTTTGTTTTCTATTGTAGTAAAGAAGATGAATATTAAACTGGGGTTTTCATGGTATTCCAACCTTTGGCTCATTGGCTGAGATGGCCAACTAAAAAGTCTCTTGTGGTGCCTTTGCAATATGGGTTTCTATTTGCTAAGGGCAGCTGGGTCACTGGATGGTAGGACTTTTGCTGGCCTCAGCTGTCTTGCAGCTGGTGACCTAAAAGTGAAAGGCTGCTAGCTTCTGAGCACCACACTGAGTAGGCTAACCTCCCCATTCTTGCAAGTGGGGCTCTGAATTTTGAACAATATTTTTGCGCGCAAGCCAGAGTTACCTCAAGTTGCAGAGAGATCCTTGCGTGTGTCACTGCAGTGCATGGTTTCATTCCCTTAGGAAGAACGCACAACATTCAAAAATAGAGAAAGTTTCCACCAGACATTATTTGGTATCTTTCTGTTTCTGTTGTTGATACTTTCATTTCCACTTCTTAGTGCCTTGCTCAGATGCATTCAGAGCCACACAGTGCTCTCATTTGAATTGTGCTGGTGCAGTTTCATTGAAGAACCCAAGAGCAGAATTTATCCCCAGCCAGGGGAAGTGCTACATGTTGAATTGATTTGGTAAATGGAGACCAGGCCTGTGCTAAATGTTTTTAATAGAAATAGAGTCCAATTATCTCTAGCTCACACAAGCATAGTCTCTCTCATCATAGCTCCACATATATAGGAATTGCTGCATACAGTGGATTGCTTTCTTTAGGGCTGACACCATAATCTCTTCTCCCTCCCTGCCCTTTTTGACATTTTATTTCCCTTAAGGAGCAGGAACAATCTGTATACTTGGGGCCTACTTCAAGCGCAGTTCCACAATTTTAACGGAAACTGTGAAAAATGGTGGCTTCCACAATCGCTGTGAAAAATGGCATTGCCCACAATTTTGTGCGGAATCTCCCCCTCCATAAAATAAAATCTTACTGGAATATGGAGAAAGGATGGCAATCCCTGCAGCCACAGAACACGCGGTTTTAGAAAGAGCTGCTGCGAGACTGAGCTAGTGCTGGTGAGTGACCCAGGGAAGGCGGCAATCAGGAGCGTGAAAGGGTTTCAGTGCCATTTTTCAAGAAGCCAGACGTAATGCTGCAGTCTGAAGATGAGCGATTGGACTCTCGACCAATCAGTGGTGTGGGGTGGGGTCACCAGAGCCCCTTGACCAATCAGCAATGAGCGGTGTAGATCGGAAAAAGCCCAGAGGCTACAGCTGTGGTGTGCTTTTGTGCAGCCTTGCAGAGGCAAAGAGGTTTCGTGAGCCTTGTTGGCAAGCCAGGTTCATGGTGGAGTTTGTTTCCCTGATGGAAAGAGAGAGGGTGATTTGTTTTGTTTTGTTTTTTGCAACAACCCAGCAATAGCTCTCAGCCTTTAAAGCCAGCACCTGAAAGAAAATATTCTAGAGGTTTTCATTTCTTACATGGCAGAAACAGATGTTAGAGTCTGTACAAGATGCTGAAATTCAATCCATTAGCTTGTTTCCAAACATATCATAACAAAAGTGATGCTGATCAGCAATTTAAATCTTGCCCTTCATGCACAGAAATTTCCTCAGTAGAAAGTCTATAATTAATCACTGCTTTGCATGCACACCATTTTGAATGCACTCTTTCATGTGTAAAGATGATTGAAGATTCCAGGAAGAACTTCAGGTGATCTCTCTGCAGAAGTGAATGACTCTTTTTACCTACAGAATATCAGCTCCTTGTGATCAGGGGCAGTAGGTGAAATACAGAGCTATTCATTACAGAAAATGAAACTGGTGCCAGGTGGTTGGATGTCTCATCTTTATCACAGATAAAGACTTTGTAAAGCAAGTTACTCAGATTCATAAGAATAGACTACAGGCATGAGTTTTTGTAGTATCTTTTATTGGACCAACTGTATAGTTTGGAGAGCTGCTAGACAAGATTTAGGGCATAAAGTGCTCTTTCTTAGGTATAAGAAAATCAGACACAGGGGGTGCATTTACACGTTCATTAATGTGCCGTAATTCTGGAGCATTAAGTTTAGTACCTGTAATTACAGGTACTAAATGTGCCGTAATTGGTGCTACTGAGCATTAGTGCCAGCACACTTTTTTTGTGACGCTAACGTGCACTAGACTAATTCTACTGCACATTGGCATGGGTTTTTCCTGTTGTGCTAATGCACAGTAGAATTAGTGTACTGTGCCTTTAATGTCTTGTGTAAATGTGCCCAGGTTGAACTAAATAGCAGAGAAAGGACTCCATGCAAATGCAGACAGTCTACTGTTTCTGTCTCTTTCTTTAGACTCTTAGGGTGTGTCTACATGTGAAATAAGTGCGACTAAATTTAATGTGCACTAAGTGATTTTTGGTAGGTGTCTACACGTGCATGGACCTGGCACTAAAGTTAGTCCCAAATCCCTTCAGCCCTGCCATGTCCTTCTGTGGCCACTGGAGAAACTCCAGCCTCCAGCCACATGGTTGCTAGCACTTCGCAGCCATGTTGAAGCCAGAGCCAGCTGTCAGCACCTGGCGGCCATCTTGGAAGCTCTGATCACTAGACATCCCCTTCCCTGCCCAGGAGCCACATACCCAGCGCAGGGGCAGCATGTACCAGTTCCCTTCCTGCCCTCTGTGCCTGCTCATGACCCTGCCAGTGGTGCCAAGTGCCCTGCTGATCCAGCCCAGCCCCTGTCAGCGATGACTAGTGCCCTGTGCTGCTGCTGGCCATGGTGCTGGCCCTGCTGGCCCCAGCAGGCCCCTTCTCTCCCCGCCCAGGACAGCTGTGCACCTGCCAGCAACTGGCTGCAGGAGGCCCTGCCTAACCCCCCCGCTGAACTCCCTACTCCAGCCCACCTCCCCTGCCGCCCACACCTGCCCCCACCTCCTGCTCACCCCTAGCACTACTCTCAGGACATGCACATGGGTGAAACAAAAAACTTTATTGCCCTCACAACCCCCAGCCCCATCCTTCCCCCTCAACAAACAATGCCCCTCCACCACCCTCCCCACCCACCAATAATAAAAAACCCACTTACATGAGGCAAACTATATACAGGATGCAAACTATATTAGGGGTGCACTGATAGAAATTTTTGAGGGCTGATACTGATAGCCAATTTTTAAGGAGACGTACTGATCCAATACTGATCCGATTTCTGATACTAGCCTGGCAGCTTGAAGAGCAACGTCCAGCTGGTAAGTCTGTTGTGGTGGAAGGGGAGGGGGAAAGGAAAGGGCATGGGCAGGGCAGATCGAGTCCCCCATGGTGAGGGAGGGAGTGGGGCTGGGACAGGCACTGCCCAGCGAGGGCAGGGTGGGCGTGGGACAGAGCTGCGGTGCATCCAGGAGGCACGAGAAGTGGCTCCTGTTGCTGCTTGTACCCCAGGAGACATGGGGGGCCATGTGCCCCCCAGATCTGTGTGGGGTGGGCTATGGCAGCAGGCTGGGGCCTGGGCTGTGCAGGGCTCTTCCCAGAGGGCATTGGGCCAGGCTGTGCTCAGGGTGGGTGATGGCGGCACTGGGAGAGGGCTATGGGCGGGGGGGGGCTGCAGCCACCCCAAAATTTGCTATAGCACCCCAACCCCCCCCTCCCAGCACCGCCAATGCCTGCCCGCCCCAAGCACAGTGAGGCCCAGTCCCCACCGGGAAGAGTCCTGCACAGCCCCAGCTTGCAGCTGCAGCCCACCTCTCACAGATCCTCCTGGAGTGCATGCAGAAGCGAGAGCCACCCTGCCTTTCCCTGTGCCCTCCTGGATGAGCTCTGTCTCGCACCTTGTCCCGCCCCAGCTGCGTAGTGCCTGCCCCAGCCCCAGTCCTAGCCCCATTCCCTCCCTCACCATGGGGGCCTTGATCTGCCCCCGCATGCCCCTCCCCCTCCCCTTCCACCACACCAGACTTACCAGCTACATGCACCTCTCCAAGCTGC